GGCTCTGTCTCAAAAAAAAAAAAAAAAAAAAAAAAACAATAAGCATGTGTCATTTAAAATGAACTTAGAATATTGTGTTCAATGACCCAATAGATTTTCTGAAGAAATTTCATTCTCTTCTTAAACTTTACAGTGAAATGCAGACATGACCAGGCATGGTGGCTCACATCTGTAATCCTAAGCACTCTGGGAGGCTGAGGAGGGTGGATCGTTTGAGCTCAGGAGTTTGGGACCAGCCTGAGCCAGAGCGAGACCCTATGTCTAAAAAAGCCAGGTGTTGTGGCAGGTGTCTCTAGTCCCAGCTACTCAGGAGACTGAGGCAAGAAGATTGCTTGAGCCTAAGAGTTTGAGGTTGCTGTAAGCTATGACCCCATTGCACTTTACCAAGGTTGACAAAGTAAGACACTGTCGCATAAATAAATAAATGGCATGCATGATCTGACCAACACGTGAAGGAACCATTCAGACCTTAATAATGCAATCATAGTTGGAGGGGTAGGGGATGGTCAAAGTAAGGCTTCCTGGCCAAATTAAGACCACAGCTGTGCTTCTTCCTTTACAGACTGGCTGCTTCCAGGCATCCAGGGTGTTACATTATTGGCCTGCAGAGCCTAAAATTTTCACCCCAGTCCTTTACAGAATATGTTGATCCTTGCTTTAGGTGTCATTTGCCTCAACTTAACTGCCAGGCCAAGGAATGCCCTTGTGGCCAGAGATAGCTGGCCAGGCAGTAGGCTAGCTTTTCTGTAAGGCAAGGGTGCTCTGCAAACAGAGCCCCACTATGGCCTTACTTGCTTTCTCTGCTGCATCATCAAACCTGGAATTACTACCTTGGGAGGATGGAAAGTGAGAGAGAGGAAGAGAATTAGCCCTAGGAAGCTAGCAGTGATTCTGCTTCAGGACATCTATCCGTCGGATGCCCTTGTGCAGAGGCAGGTACAGCATGTTTACTTGCTACTCATGGAAACAGCGAATCACTGGGAACAACCCCAGTGTCCTTTAATATGTGAATGATTAAACGGTGCTATATACAGATAAGCATGTTATTAAAAGAGATCTAGAATGTGCTATAGTAGGGCTCTACATCTTAAAGAGCACACACTTTACTCCAAGATGCCTTTATTGCCTTCCTCCCTCCACTGTAAGAAAATACTTTTTTTTTTTAAAGAAAGAATCTCACTCTGTTACCCGGGGTAAGTGCTGTGGGGCTTGCAGCAACTTCAAAGTCTTAGATTCAAGCTATCCTCTTGCTCAGCGGTTCTCAACCTGTGGATCGCGACCCACAGGAACCGTATTAAAGGAACACGGCATTAGGAAAGTTGAGAACCACTGCTCTTGCTGAACTTCCCGAATAGTGGGACTACACATGCCCACCACAATGCCTGGCTCATGTTTCTATTTTTACTAGAGACAGGGTCTCACTCTTGCTCACGTTGGTCTCAAACTCCTGACCTCAGGTGATCCACTTACCTCATCCTCCCAGACTGCGAGGATTACAGTGTAAACCACGTGCCCAGACCAATAAGATAATGTTAGACCACTGTTTAAGATAATGGTTACTATCATAATTGAAAGCTCACCATAAACCAAACACTGGTTTATAGTAAAGCATATTTCTGTATCGATATAAATGTATTTAAGTACAAAGAAACAGTCTGGAAAGGCTTATACCTGATGATTATAAAAATAATGGACAGGCATTACATAGTATGTACTATGTGGCAGACACTATTCTAGGCACATTTACCTCAATTAGCTCATTTAATCCAAATGGGGTTTTAGTATTTTGTCAGATAAAAGAATTGAGCTACATAAAAATTAACTAGCAATGGCTTGGTGCCTGTGGCTTGAGCGGCTAAGGCACCAGCCACATACACCTGAGCTGGAGGGTTCAAATCCAACCCCGGGCCCACCAAACAACAATGGCGGCTGTAACCAAAAAATAGCCGGGCGTTGTGGCA